CAGGTCCCCTCGTGCGTTCTCCCTCTACAAATCTGCCTTCCTCACTTACACCTCCTCCCTCCACGCCGCCAAGCAGGCTTACTTCGTAACCCTGATCAACACCCTCTCCTCCTGCCCTCGCCGACTCTCTTCTCCGCCTTCAACTCCCTACTCTCTCCCCCCCCCCCCCCTCCTCCACTCAGTACCTCACTCACCGCCCGCGAGATTGCCACTCATTTCCACAGCAAGATTGATGCAATCCGTAAGGACATAGTCAACTCGCAATCTACCTCCCCACCTAGCCTAGCCTCCCCCCCCCCCCCATCTCCCCTCATCTCTTCCCTCCTCTGACCTCGCAACCGCACTGCCCCCCACCACACCCAAGACCCCGCTTACCGTAACCCCCCCCAGCTCTGCACTCCTTTAGCCCCACTACCACTGAGGAAGTCACCAGGGTCTTCTCAGAGGCCCACCTCACTACCTGCCCCCTGGACCCTATCCCCTCTCAACTCCTCCGGTCACCCCCCCTCTTCCCTCATCTGCTCCCTCACCCGCATCTTCAATCTCTCTACCGGCGTATTCCCCTCCCCCCTAAAGCATGTGCACATCACCCCCATACTCAAAAAGCCCTCCCTGGACCCCACTGACCCAAACAACCTCAGACCCATCTCCCTGCTGCCACTCACTTCCAAGCTCCTTGAGCACTTAGTCTACGACCGCCTAAGCGCCCACCTAACTGACAACAACCTCCTTGATCCACTACAGTCCGGCTTCCGCCCCCTACACTCCACCGAAACCGCCCTCCTCAAAATCACCAACGACCTACTAACCGCCAAAGCCAAAGGCGACTACTCTTTCCTCCTCCTCCTGGACCTCTCCGCGGCCTTCGATACATTTGCCCACCCCCTCCTCCTTAATAAACTACTCTTCCTTGGCATCAGAGACACCACTCTCTCCTGGTTCTCCTCTTACCTATCCTGAGGCTCCTTCAGCATTTCCTACAACGGTGCCACCTCCCCTTCCCTTTCCCTCTCTGTTGGGGTCCCCCAGGGCTCTGTCCTTGGACCCCTTCTCTTCTCCATCTACACCTCCTCCCTTGGCAAACTCATACACTCCCACGGCTTCAACTACCACCTCTACGCTGATGACACTCAAATTTACCTCTCCACCCCCCACCTCACCCCCACATTCTCCGCCCGCATCACTCACCTCCTAAACGACATCTCTAACTGGATGTAGCTCCATTTCCTCAAGCTTAACCTCTCCAAAGCCGAGCTTCTCGTCTTCCCCCCTGCCCGCGCCCCCCCCCATCCTATCCATCACTACCAACAACACCACCATCAATCCAGCCACGCAAGCCAAAGTCCTTGGCGTCATTCTGGACTCAAACCTTTCCTTCCAACCTCATGTCAAATCACTTACAAACACATGCAGGCTCCACCTCCGCAACATCAGCAAAAACGCACCTTCCTTACCCCAGACACCACTAAACTACCCGTACACTCCCTGATTATCTCACGCCTCAACTACTGTAACTCCCTCCTCACCGGCCTACCCCAGTGCAGGCTCTCCCCACTTCAGACCATCCTGAACTCAGCGGCTAGACTCATCCACCTCACCAACCGCTCCACCTCTGCCACCCCCCTCTGCCTCTCCCTCCACTGGCTCCCTATCGCTCAACGCATCAAATTCAAACTACTCACTCTGACCTACAAAGCCATTCACAACACTGCCCCTAACTACCTCACCAACCTGATTCCCAGGTATCACCCTACCCGTACCCTTCGCTCTTCACAGGACCTCCTTCTATCTTGCCCCCTGGTCTCCTCCCACGCACGTCTGCAAGACTTCTCCAGGTCCTCCCCCATCCTCTGGAACTCACTACCCCAATCCATCAGACTGTCACCTTCCCTCCTCACCTTCAGGCGCTTCCTGAAAACCCACCTTTTCAGGGAAGCCTACCCCACCCTCACCTAACTGCCGTTCTCCTTCATTCCTCCTACCACTCCATCCCCCACAACCACTTCCTCCTGTACCACTACCCGCTCCCTCCTAGATTGTAAGCTCGAAAGAGCAGGGCCCTCTAACCCCTCGTGTGCTGTTTGTAGTTGCTGTACTGTTTCATGTATTGTCCCCACCTCTATTGTACAGCGCTGAGCAAACCCTTTGGCGCTATATAAACTCGATGTAATGTAATTTGTTCAGAAAATGCAAAGCATTCTCTTAGTGGCACCCATGCCGAGTGGCTGGCCGCCTGTATTCAGAATGCAGCAGGGCAGCTGCTCAGTACTGGATCTGGAGGCAAGTGGTGATCATTGCAGTAGCAGTGTCTGCTTCAGTAATTTCTAGATTCCAGAGGCATTAGTCCATTTTGGGCCAATGTAACTATGTATGAAATTCATACCTGTAACTCTTCTTTAACTTTTTAAAGCCCTCTGTCTACCTACAAACCAAAGAGGGAGCTTCCTTAAAACTTGCCATATACAAGTACAATTTTGTTCAGTCATATGAAAATTCTGAAATCTCTTTTGTCACCGAATTCTTGCCATCTTTGAGTTCACTTTGTTTGAAAGCCCTTAAAATTTCATCCATTTTCATCCGTTTTCTTTTGTGCCTAGCATGTGCATATTACAATATGTACAATATTTCTTGAATGATAACCTCAGTTTGAAACCTTTAAGTAGATCAATAATCGGAAGAACATATACACAAAATATGTATACAAAAATTAAAAAACTGGGTACAGTATGTATTGAGCAAGACCTGAATGTTGCAAACCATTTGAACAATTACTTCTGTTAAGTTTTCTCAGAAATTGCACTAAAAAAGTTGGAGTACATTGTTTCTAGCTCAATTAGTTTTAAGTATTTTTAAAGGCAGAGGTAGCAGATGAATTGGCTGACTTAAAGCTTGATAAACTTGCTGGTATTCCTCCTGGAATTCTAAGGGAAATGTGAGGTGTAGTTATTGGACCATTAACTGGTCTTTTTGTGTACATTCTCTTCTAACAGGAGGAGTTCCCCATGACTGGTGAAAGCTAATATTGTACATATACAGTGCATTCATAAAGTATTCAAACCCCCTTCACTTTTTTTTTCAGTTTTATGTTGCAGCCTGATACTACAGTTAAATTTGTTTGTTTTACTCATTAATCTACACTCAGTACCCCATAATGACAAAACGAAAACAGAATTTTAGAAATGTCTGTGGATTTGTTACAGATAAAAAACTGAGATATCACATTGGCATACGTATTCAGACCCTTTGCAACAAAACATGAAATTTAGCTTAGGTGCCTCACATTTTTCTTTGGAGAGGCACAGACCTTTTTATAAAAGACCTCACAGCTAACAATGCATACAGTATATGAGCAAAAAGCAAGAGGTCAAAGAAAATGCAGAGCTCATAGACAGGGTTATTGCAATGCACAGATCTGGGGAAGGCTGCAAGAAAAGGCTGCTGCACTCAAGGTTCCCAAGAGCACAGTGGCCTCCATAATTATCAAATGGAAGAAGTTTAACACAACCAGGACTCTTCCAAGAGCTCGTCGCCCAGCCAAACTGAGCAATTGGGAGAGAAGGGCCTTAGTAAGAGAGGTGACAAAGAACCTTATGGTCACTCTGACTGAGCTCCAGAGATCCTGTGTGGAGATATAACAAATTTCCAGAAGGAAACCATCACTGCAGCCCTCCATTGATCTTGGCTTTATGGCAGAGTGGCTAGACGAAAGCCTCTTCTACATACAAAACACATGAAATTCCACTTGGAGTTTGCAAAACCTTGTAAATGAATTTAAACAACTGTAGTATCAGACTGCATCCTAACAAAGTTGAGAATTGAAGGGGGTCTGAATACTTTCTGAATGGACTGTGCACAAGTAAGGAAGAAGTTGGCAACTTTGAAGGCCAGTGAGTTTAACAGCTGCAGTAGTAATAGTAATGGAATCGCTCCTAAAAAGCATCATTGATTACTTTGAAAACGCACAACTTGCTGGACCCAAAGCAGCATGGCTTTACTAAGGGAGGAGAATGTCAGACTAATTTGATTAAATGTTGACTATATCATAAATTACAAAAAAATGGTGTAAGTGGGTATATAGAGTATCCTATCCCTCAATACATTAAAACACAAGTCTCACACTTTTTCTATCTTTGTGTATTTTGACTGTATTAAAAATATTTTGGACCTGGGTGGTGCTGTGATCATAGCCTTTTTTTTATATTGGCAGTTACACAGCACAGTCTTACATAAAAGTTGTTAAAGCTAGGACTTAACCCTTGGCTGGGTTCAGTGAATATGAAGACCAGTCACTATGGTGTACCACAAGGCTCTGTAGTAGGTCCTGTAGTCCAGCAGCAAGTCTTGCGGTTGTCAACAGATCGGCCTCTGTTTTTCAGCACAATGCTGAAAATTAGAGAGCATCTCCGCATGTGCAGAGCAGGGTGAAACAGTGTATTGCTGGATTTTAAACAGTATAGACATTTGTTTTTAATGTTTTTATAGTTATACCTACAAAAGGGGCCAGCATGAAGTGATCTAGCAGGTTTTAATTTTCTGGCTAAAGTTCCACCTTAAAGTAGAACTGTAGGCAGAACTTTTTTTTAATTTTGAATAAGTAAGGGAGGGTTATAACCCCTGTCAGATTTTTTACCATTGGGGCGATTTACCTTCACTTCCTGTCCCATAGCCAAAACAGGAAATGAGAGGAAATCCCTGCAAATTAACAGAATCGCTTGGGGCTCCCCAGGTCACCCGAACTAGATTTCCCCTCTATTACTGTTCCGAGGACAACCCAAAATTTGGGATTTTCCTTTATTTTCACTTTTGATGATCAAGGTAAACAGGACACATAGAGGGACTGAATCTCCCTAACTGGGGGCCCCTATCAAAATCCTCCTGTCAGATGTGTTCCAACATTTATTTCATACAGACACACTTCAGGAAAAAGTTTTGCAATATGATTTGTTTTCTACGCAAAACATGGAATCTTTTTTTTCTTAAATGTTTTTTTCTTTTAACAGTCCCAGTTCGCCGGAAGCAACGCCGTCGCTCACAGTGGGGTCGTGGGATAATTAAGAAGAAGAAGTCCAACTATTGTTTAAAGAAAGATGAGGATTCTAAGTTCCGAGATGATGAGGAAAATGATGACCCATTAGAAAATGGTGATTGCCTGGAGGAAAACGGAGAAGAGACTGGAGACCACTCCATGACAAATGATGAGTCCTCTTGTGATGTGACAGATGGAGACGTGGAGCACCAGAACGGGATACTTGGCAAGGGCAGCAGTTTGGAGTCCGCAGAGGAAGAAAGCTCCAATGAATCCATGTTGGTCAATAGCAACTCAGCACTGGAAAGCAAAACAATTACTGCCAAGAACCAGCCTCTTGCCACAGACTATTTAAACGGAAACTCTTCGTTGGATAGCTTAGAAAGCACACCTGTATCTGCTTTCCATAATGGGAAGAGGGAAAACAATGCCCTTGCAACCACAGACAAAGATTCAGAGACTAGAGACCCCCCAGTTATTGAATTGGTCAACTGTCACAACTCTAAAATTCAGCATAGTAATGAAGCACCACAGCTGATATTAGCAGCTGGTCCGCTTAACCAGCAGGAAGCAATGGAGAGAGGAGATGAGCCAGAAGGTAAAGTGGTATTTTCTGTGTTTTTTATCAAATCTGTTTTAAACAATTTATCATTAACTTCATTCAGGGCTAGACTGTTAATTCAGTTTTAGCATGAACTGTGGCTATTTTAAAGGATAAGTTCACTTTTTATAACATGTTACACACGTATTTGATAGTTTATGGTGGGTCAGCAGCATCCATGTGAAAGGGGCCTTAAAGTCCATGAGTTTCCCAAATCCTCAACTGCCTGCGACTGTAATTGACTTTTTTCCTTCCCAAAAACTAAGCACAAATCCTGCCCGGGCTAAGGGTTTTCTTTAGGCCTTATTCAGGCAGGGGAATACCTATCCGCACACTGTCTTTGTTCGGGGACACGCACCTGCACGGCTATTAAATTGATACCAGCAGCTGGGTCTGTTCAAACGCTGCAACCCAGTAGACATGAATGGGACTGCCTACACATGGTTGCACAGAATAGCTGTACATCCCATGCGGGAGAAGATGGCTTTTTGCACGGGTGTACAAATAGGTATGCCCACGTGAATGAGGCCTTACTGCCCATGATCCCCGTTGTATTATCCCCAGTTCTTTGCTCCCCTGCCACTGTGTATTTTCTTCACTCCACGTGGCCCAATGCATTCAGGTATAGAAAGGCAATGCGATACCTTTACAATACAGTTCTGGGTGCCTGAGTTACCTATTGTTAGGAACAGCAGTTTGTGTAGGCCAGGGGAGACAGAGCCCTTGTCTCTCCTGTATACGCCATCGCTTCTCTTTGTTCCCAAAAGCGTGCATGGAGTGATAAGGGAGCAAAGGGTGGGGATAAGCTGCACAAGAGTTGGCAGTGAATCTGTTGCATTGATCTGCAAGGGCAAGCCCAGGTTCACTTTAACTTGCATATAGCTTGTTGTAGGAAATATGACAATGTAGTCTTATATAAAATGCTTCCATCTGAAAGTGGAACAGATCTATTTGAAAAATCTCAGGTGTTCTGGATATATTAGTATGAGGAATAAACAGAAGCTGGAACCTCAGAGTGGAGAAGAAAGCCATAGATCTCAATTCTGGCTGGATAACCATACAAATCTTGTTGCTGTTTGAAATATTTCAAAGGTGTTAACACTGCTATCCCTTTGAGATTAGAATACATGAGAAATTATAGCCCAAGAACCGTTATTCATTTTTAATCAATGTATGTGTCTCATTTATATAGATGTATTGTTTTTTTAGAAAAAAAAAAAAAAAAAACTATATTACTTTTACGTATACAGCACATATATTATTAACAGCAGTGGCTTTATCAGTTTAGTAAGAACACGTGTATTTAGTTCAGTATGCTTTAGAGCAGTGGTTCTTAACCTTGTTGGAGGTACTGAACCCCACCAGTTTCATATGCGCATTCACCGAACCCTTCTTAATTGGAAAAATAAAATATGATTTTTAAAATTCAAAACATAGGTATATATTTATACATAGGTGCACAAAATGAACAAAACCGTTAAGAACAAAGAACAAAACCATTAAAACATGATTTTCACACAAAAACATAAACATAATAATGAATATTTACTGCACGAATCATATGAGTCGGGTGTGGGTCTTCACCTCTGCCGAACCCGCGAGATTGACTCACTGAACCCCTGGGGTTCGATCGAACCCAGGTTAAGAACCACTGTTTTATAGTAATTCATCCCCCATAGTAATTCATCCCCCATATAGTAATTCATCCCTCATATAGTAATTCATCCCCCATATAGTAATTCATCCCCCCTATAGTAATTCATCCCCCCTATAGTAATTCATCCCCCCTATAGTAATTCATCCCCCATATAGTAATTCATCCCCCATATAGTAATTCATCCCCCATATAGTAATTCATCCCCCATATAGTAATTCATCCCCCATATAGTAATTCATCCCCCATATAGTAATTCATCCCCCATAGTAATTCATCCCCCATATAGTAATTCATCCCCCATATAGTAATTCATCCCCCATATAGTAATTCATCCCCCATATAGTAATTCATCCCCCCTATAGTAATTCATCCCCCATATAGTAATTCATCCCCCATATTAATTCATCCCTTATATAGTAGTAGTAGTAAGTAAGTAAGTAGCAAGTAGTAAGCCAAGTCCCCCCTGTGTCAATTCACTTACCTTTGCTCCGCGCGTTCCTCTCGCCGTATTCCCGCACCGTTCCGGTCTTCAGGCGGACTGTGAGAGGAGCCTAGCTCCTCTCACGTTCGTCACGCTGCCCCGCCTACACACATCCTGACAGCCAATCACTGGCTATCAGGATGTGAGTGGCAGCGAGACTGGCCAATCATTGCATTTGAGCGCGCTGCCCTTTCTGTTTTTTTTTTTTTTTTTTTTTGGATCACGCTGCAGAGTCCCTGCCGCCCGAGAGGAGGGAGGGGAGCGGGCGCCCGGCACACAAGAGCCGCATTAAAGCGTGTAAAGAGCCGCATGTGGCTCGCGAGCCGCGGCTTGCCGACCACTGGGCTAAGCGATGTTGCGTGACCACCTGCAGCCAAATGATGGACAAGCGGGGCATGTCATCACGAATCATATGAGTCGGGTGTGGGTCTTCACCTCCGCCGAACCCGTGAGACTGACTCACCGAACCCCTGGGGTTCGATCGAACCCAGGTTAAGAACCACTGCTTTAGAGCCTGTGTCAATGGCATCAATTCAAGATGCTTCCGAGCTCATTCAGAATCCAGTAACCGCTAGTTTACCTCATTCTGACCTGCTTTTGACCTGCAGGTTTTGCATCTTTATATACTTGTGTGGGTAAACCTATCTGACACAAAGGCCCAAGGACACAGGCCTCAGCTATCACTTTGTTAGCCGCCATCAGAGGCTAAAGATGGCTGCTTACATCTATGAAAGTACTGAGCAGAAAGTGTAACCTTGATTTTAAATAGCCTTCTGTTATAACAATCTTCTGAAACTTTTATATATTTATCTATGGTTATGTGCTTTGCTCCTTTATGTGTAATACTGATATTAGAAACTCATTTATATAAAATAGGATTTTGTGTGATATGTATGTTGACTGGCTCGTTACGTTTGCACCAGTCTGTAAAGCAGGAGGAAACTTCATTTTAAATCTCTTCTGCATAGCCAGTGCCTGGCAAACTATTTCTGCTTTGTGTCCCTGTTTCAGTAGCTTCAGCATTTGGTCTCCTTGGAAATGGCTGCTTGGAGCTTCCTGAAGACAGAGGGAGTCTGGTGCTGTGTAGAAAGGTTATGCCCAAAGAATCCATCTGGTTGTAAATGTTGAGCAGCTGGATAATCAAAGCAGCAACCACTTCTGGATCCTTAGTCAAACATCATCTTAAAATATCAAATATCAGGAGCTCGATGTCAGGCTCTCCTTAATGATTAATGTCATGTGAGATGAATTTTTGTATTCATAGCACATGGCTTATACAATGGCTTAAATACAGGAAAACAAGCTACATGTGGATATATGCTGGGAGATAACCCGATTAGAGAGAGGGTGGGGGGTGAAAAAAAAAAAAAAAATCTATCTATCTATAAACCTTCAGCGATGGCCCTGTGCTTTCCTCTTCCTACTGGCATTTGTAAAACATGTGACTGTGCAGTGCCGTGGTGGTTCATTGAAGCTTCCTGTCAGTATATCTGCTTGCTCGTACATCCCATACAGCAAACAGATATTCTGACAGGTCTGCAGGAGACCTGCATGGCTTCAGCGATCTACTGATTGGTGGTGCAATGCTTTCCAGGCTCCTTTTGAACAAAAATAATGCACATTTTTTTACCTGCAAAAAAAAATTATTATTGACCAAAGATGAACTTATCCTTTAAGGTAAAAAATGTCAAGCCTTTACAACCACTTTAAGTTGTCATCAAAACAGAAGAGGGGGAATTTTCCAAAGGGGACACTTTTTTTTCTGGTGGCATTTCCTTTTTCTTTTGTGTCATTGGGGACACATGGGTAAGTTCAACTTTAATAACCATTTTCCAAAGAAATTCCACATGCATTCCTAACACATTATAGACCACTTCTTTGCTGTTCAACCAGTTGCTCCTGGCTCCCTATATACATGTAGGCTGTGAGCAGCCTGTCCTAAAGGACTACTTGGTAGCTGACTCTCCTGGTTTTCTTGCCATTACTGGAGGTTAAAAATGTACTCCCAGCACTGGCCCATTCAAATAATGCACTCCCTCTGTTGCAGCAACAGCTTAGTGAACCCAGTGAAAGTACAGTATTTGACAGCACAAGAGTGGCTGTGTGGGGGCACAGATCTAACTTCTGTCCTGTTTTGTCTTTAAGGCAGATCGGAGTGGGGTCAGCTACTAAGGAGGTTTTTTCAGGCAGGCTGCCTATGTGTATGGAAGTGGACAGGAGCAACTACTTGAATAGCAGATGAGTGATATAATGTGCTGGAGATGTTGAAATACAATGGGGATTATTTGGGGAAAATTGACATTAAATTTGTCTCCTAAGAGATGACATCTACATGGAACACAGGCATAAAAATAAATCTAACCAGGGCTTTAACATTCTCTCTATTCCAAAAAAAAATAGCTTTACACTTGAGCTGTACCATTTTTCTGGTAATGTTCTATTTTTCCTACAAAATCATTTAATATCTGCTTAACATGCATCTTGTTTGTTCTGACATAGGTAATCCAGGCAGCAAAATTCTACACAAGGACCTTTATTTGAATGAGAACCATGACCCAGAACCACCTTTGATTGTTGACCACAACAAACTAGAGGTAATGATACTGCCGATTTTCTTATGTCTGGTCTATAAAATGTCTGGTGTTTGTCCACATTGGTCTGATTCCTGATATATATATTTCACCTTTTAGAAACTGCTTAATACTGTGGTAAAGAAGAGCTGCAATCTGACAGTGGATGAATTGGAGAGGTGGTACTCTGTCCTCAGCCAGTGTATTTACATCCACAGGATGGAGTATGACAAAACTGCCCTAGTCGAGGTAAGTTGAATTTCCAGCTTAATATTAGGGTGGCCCTGTCCTCAATGGATTTCTCAATTTCCATTGAAATAAGTTATGGCTTTACTTCTAGCCAGCTTATTAATGTAGCCTATAACCCTGTTCCCGAAATGTTTTTTTACTACATGCAGTGGATATAAAAAAAATCTACACACCCCAGTTAAAATGTCAGGATTCTGTGATGTAACAAAATGAGAATAAGATAAATCATTTCAAAACTTTTTCCACTTTTAATGTGATCTATAAACTGTACTACCCAGTTGAACAACAAACTGAAATCTTTTAGGTGGAGGGAAGTAAAAAATAAAAAAAAACTAAAGTAATATGGTTGAATAAGTGTGCACACCCTTAAACTAATACTTTGTTGAAGCACCTTTTGATTTTATTACAGCACTCAGTCTTTTTGGGTATGAGTCTATCAGCATGGCACATCTTGACTTGGTAATATGTAAAAACACTCCAAATCTGTCAGATTGTGAGGGCATCTCCTTTGCAGAGCCCTCTTCAAATCACCTCACAGATGTTCGATCAGATTGAGGTCTGAGCTCTCTGGCTGGGCCATTCCAAAACTTTAATCTTCTTCTGGTGAAGCCATTCCTTTGTTGATTTAAATGCATGCTTTGGGTCTTTGTCATGTTCAGCTTTCTAGTAGAAGCTTGAAGGTTTTGTGTCAATATTGACTGGTATTTGGAACTGTTCATAATTCCCTCTACCTTGATTAAGACCCCAGTTCCAGCTGAAGAAAAACAGCCCCAAAACATGATGCTGTCACCACCATGCTTCACTGTTTTTATGGTGTTCTTTTGGGCTTTGTGCCGTGTTGTTTTTGTGCCAAACATATCTTTTGGAATTATGGCCAAAAAGTTCAACCTTGGTATCATCAGACCAGAACACATATTTTCCCTCATGCTTTTGGGAGACTTCAGATGTGTTTTTGCAAAATTTTAACCAGGCTTGGATGCTTTTCTTCGTAAGAAAAGGCTTCCGTCTTACCACTCTACTCCATAGCCCAGACATATGAAAAATACAAGAGATCGTTGTCACATGTACCACACAGCCAGTCTTTGCTGGATATTCCTGCAGCTCCTTTAATGTTGCTGTAGGCCTCTTGGCAGCCTCTCAGACCAGTTTTCTCATCTTTTCATCAATTTTGGAGGCACGTGCAGTTCTTGGTAATGTCACTGTTCCAAAATATTTTCTCCACTTGATGACTGTCATCCCTCTGATGCTTTGGAAGCTCTCTGTGGACCATGGCTTTTTGCTGTAGGATGCAACTAAGAAATGTCATGAAAGACCTACTAGAACAGCTGAACGTTATTTGAGGTTAATCCGAGGCACTTTAAATGATGGCAGGTGTGTACTGACTCCTATTTAACATGATATTGAATGTGATTGCTTAATTCTGAACACAGCTACATCCCCAGTTATAAGAGTGTGTGCAAACTTATGCAACCACATTATTTTAGTTTTTTATGTTTACTTCAACCCCTAAAAGATTTCAGTTTGTTTTTTCAATTGAGTTGTACAGTTTATAGGTCACATTGAAGGTGGAAAAAGTTCTGAAATGATTTATCTTTTCATTCTTTTACATCACAGAAACCTGACATTTTAACTGGGGTGTGTAGACTTTTTATATTCACTGTAGATCTATATATTTCAAAACTAAAAAACAGCACAAAATACTTAGACTAAACACAAATTACAAAATGCAGAACAGTAGCATCAGTATCAAAAGTATTTTGATCAGCTGGCTGTCATGTAAAAGTGATATGATATGGCACCACCACGCCCTTTTTTAGGAGCCCGAAGTCTCAAATTGTCGGGATGGCAACTGAGAGAAGATCAGACACCCATTCCTTGATCATCTGGTAGTGCTCAGCTCTGAGCATTTCTGATTTCAGAGCAGTCATTCCCTGGCTGCTAAAACCAGGAAAGCAGCCAATCAAACACAGCCGACCTGTGCTTGACTAGCTGCTGAGAAAGGCAGGTGGAGACATTGGGAATCTAATAGGTAATCTTTATAGATCGATCTTTTGCTTGACCTAAGCACGTTTTGAAGTGATTTACTGTTGACTTGCTCACTACCTCTGTTGGAAGTTTGTCCCAAGCATCAACTACTCTTTCAGTAAAATAGTTCTTTCTGAGATTAGTTTTGAACGTTTCCTCAAGTTAGTTTAAGGTCATGTTGAAAATACTGCCTTCCTGAACCTTATTCACCCCCTTGATGTAATTAAAAATTTCAGTGATGTCTCCTCTTTCCCTTTTTTCCTCCAGACTGTACATGTTAGGTTCCTTGAAGTCGCTCTTGATATGTTTTATCCCTCAGACCTTTCACAATTTTTGTTACCCATCTCTGGTCTCGTTCTATCTTATCCGTGTCTTTTTGTGAGGTCTTCAGAACTGTACCTAGTATTCTAAATGAGATCTACTAAAGATCTATATAGGGGAATCAGTATCTCCTTCCTGCTGGTGATCCTTCTAGTGATGCATCCTAGAATGATATTCGCTTTCCCCACTGCCTGGTCACATTGTTTGCTCTTTTTGCAATCATCTGAAATAAATAAGTCTTTCTTCTCAAGTGCTGGCCAACACTGTACACCCAATGTTGTACACTCTCAAGGTTTTTTTTCACTAGGTGCATTATTTTAAATTTAGAAACATTAAACTGCAATACATTGGGTATTATGTTTGGTTTCACTAAAATTCATTTTTTTATTATTATACAGGATTTATATAGCACCAACTGTTTGCTCGGTACTTTACAATATAAAGGGAGACAATACAGCTTAATACAAGAGGGTATGGAGGGGCCCTGCTGCTGGGAGCTTACAATCTAATAGGGACGGGCTCGTGGTACAAAAGGTAATAACTGTAGTGGGATGGACTGAAGGGAGAAATAGAAGATTTGGTTATTAGCAGAAGGCGGAATAGGCTTCTTTGAGGAGAGAGGTTTTCAGGGATCGCCTAAAAGTGGGCAGAGTAGGTGATAAGCGGACAGATTGGGGTAGAGAGTTCCAAAGGATGGGGGAGGCTCTGGAGAAGTCCTGGAGATGAGCATGAGAGGAGGAGACAAGGCAGCTGGAGAGCAGGAGGTCTTGGGAGGAGTGGAGAGGAGGGTTTGGGTAATATTTAGAAACCAGATTAGTGATGTAATTTGGGGCAGAGTTGTATATGGCTTTATATGTTAATGTTTTGAATTTTATGCATTGGGCAATGGGAAGCCAGTTGAGGGATTGGCAGAGAGGGATGGCAGACATGGAATGGTTGGTTTAGTGGATGAGTTTGGCAGCAGCATTCATGATAGACTGAAGAGGGGATATCCTGCGATTAGGTAGGCCAATGAGGAGGCAGTTACAATAGTCAAGGCAAGAGATAACAAGAGAGTGAATAAGCTGCTTAGTGGTTTCAATGGTTAAAAAGGGGCGTATTTTGGAGATGTTGTGGAGGTGAAGTCTGTTAGATTGGGACAGTGATTTGGGGCTGAAAGGACAGATCGAAGTCTAGGATTACACCCAGTACCCGGGCATGAGGGGAGGGACTGATGGTTGTATTATTGATTTTGATAGAGAAGTCAGGGGAGGGGGCACAGGCTGGAGGGAATATTATCAGCTCTGTTTTAGAAAGACTTGAGTTTGAGGAAGTGGTGTGATAGATGAGGGGTCGAGAGGTAGATTTGTGTGTCATCAGCATAGAGATGGTACTTGAAGCCATGGGAGTTAATAAAGTGATCAAGGGAGGAGGTGCAGATGAAGAAGGGGTCCAAGGACAGGAGCTTGGGGGAACCTCTACAGCAAGAGGAAGTGGAGAAGAGACAGTGTTATAGGTAACACTGAAGGTGCGCTGTGATAGGTAGGAGAACCAGAGGAGAGCAGAGTCTCGAAGGCTAAGAGATTGGAGTTTTGGCGTTTTGAGGAGGAGGAGATGATCAACAGTATCAAAAGCCACAGAGAGGTCTAGTAGTAAGAGTATGGAGTAGTTTCCATTGGTTTTTGCAGTTAGTAAATCGTTGGTGAAATCAAATTGCAGTGCACCGCATCACACATGAATTGCACTAGAATGCAGTGCGCTTTCCTATATGATTCATAGTGTTAGCCTAGCCTGAGTAATAAAACATATCAGGAGAGACTTCAGGAACGTAATACAGTTAGGTCCATATATATTTGGACACAGGCACAATTTTCATACTTTTGGCTCTGTATGCCACCAGAATAAATTCAAACTAAACAATCCAAATGAATTTGAAGTGCTGACTTTCAGCTTTAATTCAAGGGGTTGAGCATAAATATCAAGTACAAATTTTAGGAACTGCAACCAGTTTATACAGTCCCTCCATTTTCAGGTGCTCAAATGTAATTGGACAAAATGAATATAATCATAAATAAAATGTTCATTTTTAATATTTTGTGGAGAATCCTTTACTGGCAATGACTGCCTAAAGTCTGAAACCCATGGACATTACCAAAGACTGGGTTTCCCCCTTTCTGATGCTTTGCCAGGCTCTAACTGCAGCTGTCTTCAGTTGTTCTTTGTGGGTCTGTCTTTTAGTTTTGCCTTCAGCAAGTGAAATGCCTGCTCAATTGGGTTGAGATCAGGTGATTGACTCTGCCATTGCAGAATATTCCACTTCTTTTCCTTCAAAAGCTCCTGGATTGCTTTTGCAGTGTGTTTTGGATCATTGTCCATCTATACTGTGAAGTACCGTCCAATCAACTTTGCTGCATTTGGCTGAATCTGGGCTGACAGTATATCTCGCAGAATTCATCCGGCTGCTTCTGTTACATCATCAAATATACACCAATGACCCAGCGCCACTGGAAGCCATGCATGCCCATGCCATCACACTGCCTCCACCATGTTTTACAGATGACGTTTTGTGCTTTGGATCATGCGCTTTTCCAAGCCCTCTCCACACTTTTTTCTTCCCGTCATTCTGGTACAGATTAATGTTTCATCCATCCAAAGAATGCTTTTCCGTTACTGGTCTGCCTTTTTTAGATTTTATTTTGGCAAAGTCTAATCTAGCTTTTCTATTCTTCAGGCTTATGAATGGTTTGCACCTTGTGGTGAACCCTCTGTATTTGCTCTCATGAAGTCTTCTCTTGATTGTAGACTTTGACAATGATACACCCACCTCCCGGACAGAGTGCTTCACTTGTCGGGATGTTGTGAATGGGTTTTTCTTTACCATAGAGAGGTGCCTGCGATCATCCACCACTGTTGTCTTCCATGGACGCCCATGCCTTTTTATGTTGCTGAGCTCGCCAGTGCATTCTTCTTTCCTCAGAATGTACTAAACTGTTGATTTGGCCATTCCTGATGTTGCTGCTATCTCTCTGATGGATTTGTTTAGTTTTTGAAACCTTATAATGGCATTTTCACTTGCATGGACAGCTCCTTTGTATGCATGATGTAGGTTCACAGCAGTAGATTCCAAATGCAAATACCACACTAATTAATTGCTTAATTGATGAAGAAATAACGGAGTAGTTCACACCTGTCCATGAAACAGCTTTTGATTCAATTGTCCAATTACTTTTGATCCCTTGAAAAAGGGGGGATGGCTACTCTTAAGAGCTGTAAATCCTAAATCCTTTCTCCAATTTGGATGTACATACCCTCAAATTAAACCTGACAGTGTGCACTTTCAGCCCATATCCATTATAGTTATACAGGTGTATCTCGGTTTACAAACACTTTGGTTAACGTTTTTTGTTTACGAATGACTGGACTTTGACTGGGCCATTCTAACACATGAATATATCTAAACCATTTATCTAAACCATTCCATTGTAGCTTTGGCTATATGTTTTAGGGTAGTTATTCTGCTGGAAGGTGAACCTCTGCCCCAGTCTCAAGTCTTTTGCAGACTCTTAACAGGTTTTCTTCTAAGATTGCCCTGTATTTGTCTCCATCCATTTTCCTATCAACTCTGACCAGCTTCCCTGTTGAAGAAAAGCATCCCCACAGCATGATGCTGCCACCATCATGTTTCACGGTGGTGATGGTGTGTTCAGGGTGATGTGCAGTGTTCATTTTCCGCCACACTTACCGGTTGCTTTTAGGCTAAAAAGTTCAATTTTGGTCTCGTCTGACCAGAGCACCTTCTTCAACATGTTGCTGTGTCCCTCACATGGCTTCTCACAAACTGCAAACTGGACTTCTTATGGCTTTCTTTCAACAACGGCTTTCTTCTTGCCACCCTTCCATAAAGGCCAGATTTGTGGAGTGCGCAACTATTAGTTGTCCTGAGGACAGATTCTCCCACCTGAGCTGTGGATCTCTGCAGCTCCTCCATAGTTACCATGGGCCTCTTGGCTCCTTCTCTGATTAATGCTCTCCTTGCCCTGCCTGTCAGTTTAGGTGGACGGACATGCCTTTGTAGGTTTGCAGTTACGCCATACTCTTTCTGTTTTTGGATGATGGATTGAACAGTGCTCTGTGGGGTGTTCAAAGCTTGGGATATTTTCCTTATAACCTAACCCTGCATTAAACTTCTCCACAACATTATCCCTGACCTTTCTGGTATATTCCTTTGCCTTCATGATGCTGTTTGTTCACTTATGTTCTCTAACAAACCTCTGAGGGCTTCACAGAACAGCTGTATTTATACTGAGTAAATTTCACACAGGTGGATTCTATTTACTAAAAAGGTGATTTCTGAAGGCAATTTGTTCCACTAGATTTTATTTAGGGGTATCAGAGTAAAGGGGGCTGAAAACAAATGCATGCCACACTTTTCAAATATTTTTTTTAAAAATGTTAGATATCATTTTCCTTTTTCAAGGCACTGTGTGTGTTTGTATATATGTGTGTGTTTTATATATATATATATATATATATATATATATATATATATATATATATATATATATATATATATATTTAGTGCTCGGCATAAATGAGTACACCCCTTTTTGAAAAGTAAGATTTTAATCAATATCTCAGTGCACGCAAGAACAATTTTCTAAGATTAATAATATAACTTAATTACAAAATCTTCCGTTTTACTCAAATTGATGCAAAAATACACCCCCCTACAAAAAAAATACTACAATCTAGTATTTTTATGATCCCCATGATTTGTAAGGACAGTACCAAGTCTTCTAGGCATGGAATGAACAAGTTGGCGACATCTATCTTTTTTCCATTCTGCCAGAACGACCTCTTTTTAGAGCCTGGTTGCTGGATGGATAGTGATGCTCAACTTGTCTCTTCAAAATCCCCATAGGTGTTCGATTAGGTTCAGATCAGGAGACATACTTGGCCACTGAATCACTTTCACCCTGTTCTCCTTCAGAAATGCAACAGTGGTCTTAGATGTGTGTTTTGGATCATTGTCATGTTGAAAAAGTGCATGATGACCAAGGGCACAGAGTGATAGCATCTTCTCTTTCGATATAGAGCAATACGTTTGTGAATTCATGATAAAATCAATGAAATACAGCTCCCCGATACCAACAGCACTCATGCAGCCCCACAGAAGGACACTTCCACCACCATGTTTCACTGTAGGCACCATGTGTTTTTCTTTGTATTCCTCACTTTTGCAATGGCATACAGTTTTGAAGTCATCCCTTCCAAAACATTTATCCTGGTCTTATCACTCCAGAGTACAGAGTCCCAGTAGTTGTCTATTTTTTCATCATGGGCCCTGGCAAATTCTAGGCTGGCTTTTTTGTGCATGGGCTTTAGGAGAGGCTTCCTTCGTAGATGACACCCATGCATGCCATTCCTCTGCAGTGTACGCTGTTTTGTGTCACGGGAAACAATCACCCCAGTTTGACTTTCTACTACTTTAGCTAATTGCAGTGAACTTGCTTGACACTTTTCTTCGACCCTTCTCTTAGAAAATGCTCCTGTGGACGTGTGAATGTCCGTGGACGGCCTGGATGTCTGTGAGATGGTTGCAGTTTCAGCTTTGATACATTTTTGTATCACTTTTATCACAGTATTCTTACTGATATCTTCTTGTAGCCTTCACCTTTCTTGTGTAAAGAAATTATTTTCTTTCACAGCCTTGTAAAATTTCTCTTCCATGTGGTGCCATTGCCAAGGACATGAAATGGGAGGGGTTTTCTTTAAGTAACACCCTTTTATAATCAACTGTCTGCTGGACACCTGTTTAATGAATAATTGACTCACCTGTAGTTGATTTCTTGTTGATTAGGATTTTGTGTTCTAAAATTTAGCTTTGCGCCTAAGACTTTCATTGGGGTGTATTCATTTTTGCAACATGGTCTTGAATAAATTTGTGAGGAAAAATTATTTTGTGTGTGTGCGAATTAAAAAATCTTGTTTGTAATCTGTGGGGTCTGCATTTGTGTGAGTATTTTTTAGTGTCCCATAGAAAATGTTGTTTCTAAAAGGAAAGTAAAGGTTTTCTGACAAATCTGTTGGGGCGTACTCATTTATGCTGAGCAGTGTGTGTCTATGTGAGGAGACTACATTAGTAGTACTAGGACTGTCCCCAGGGATTGGCGGAATTCTGGGGGGGGTATATCTGAGGGCTTGCTATTTGCTCCTCATCCCACAGCCGCAAAGCCCCTCCAGAAAAAAGAGAAGCCCCATTCATTCAAACAGCGTGGCAGGCAGCTTACAACCACCAATCCCTACATAGTAACCTAGGCTAGCGAGCCAAGCAAGCCAAAACACCGAATCAGCATATAACTGTACTCTGCCATTCGCTGCACTCCGAGAGAGAATTCTCCTGACCAATGCAGAAAACTGCACTGAAATGAGGCAGGTAATAGGGACACTTACCCACCAATACCCATGATAATGTGCCTCAATTCGCTGGATCTGACTTCTGTAATTTTAGTGTTATTTTTCATGAAAATATGTGTTTGATGAACAGTTACACAAATATAAGTGGTATAGAATGTTTCAACTACAATTGTTTTTATTCTATAAGTCCTCTGTTTTCAGAAAAATGTGTTTTCGGGGAGGTTTTAAGTAATTCTAAAGCCAAAATTGCAGATATTAATGTGTGCAGAAATGTGCTTTAGAAGAGGACTTTTTAAGGTAAATGGCTTTGTTTATTTTTTGCAGGAGATGGAAAGGACAGTTGAGAAGTTTCAAACATTCCTGTGAACGTTGCCAAAACTGCAACATTTTTATTTTCTGTGACTCTTCATAGGGAGAGCCCCTTTAATCGATTTTATTTATTTTCAATGGCACCAAGTCTGCTCTGAACCTTGCTCTCCAGTGTTTAACCTCTCACCATCTGCTGTTCAACAAGATTGGTGCTATCGTCTCAGGTACTTGATGCCAACCAGCCTACTAGAACCAAACAGAACTTCGTAACCCCGGTGGACACAAACCCAACAATTACAGCTTGAAGAATAGCGGTGCTAATGGCGGGTGGATGGGAAGTCCACTGATCTGTCTATATCAAATGCTAGAAAGCCATCGGCACCAGTCATTCCCTTCTCACTATTGGGAGGGCTTCAATTCTTGTGATGGAACTGTACAAAAAAAACTGGATCACAAAAAAAGCCAGATGCTTGTATTTATTTGTCTCATTTTATCAACTCTTAAATGATCTTTTTTTTTTTTTTTTTCCCTACCATGTCTCATATTTTCTTCAGAAAACGTGTCAGAAGTAGTTGGTGGCAGCTTACCCTAAAATCTGACTCAAAGCTTTTTTGTGCCTTTTTAACACTGTTAGAATTTTCCATTGGGTCTAATTGTTAGGAAGGAAGCAAACAAAACTATCTGAGGAAAGTTGTCAGGTTTAAATCTAAACAATTAAAGCTGGCCAGCTCTGTGACCCTATGGTTGTTGAGGAGCCATAGTCCCAGGCTTTTAGCTTTGGTTTCTCAACAGGTGCTGAATGTTAGGGCTTTGTAGACATTACTCGTTCCCTTAACAGGTGCTAACGGTTAGATACTGGTGGGACACTTAACTTTGACTCCTCAATACCTGCTAGCTGGCAATGAATGCTGGGACTCTGATTTCTCAAACCTGGTTCATAAGCTGCTGGCTGGTAGGGCATACTAAGAGCTTTGTGGCTTAACTGTGATACGTCATCAAAAGTCACCTGAGAGGGCATGCTGGTACTGGGGGTCCTCAACAGCCAAAAGTTGACCATTACTAGTTTAAAACCTGTTGATTTCCTCATCATTGTTCATTTGAGTTAAACAGATTGCTGCCTGTATGTCAAATGTGAGCTTATTTGTATGTGTTCTGCAAGCCAGTTAGTATTTGTAATGTTTGGTACTCCAAAGTGTTAAGTCTTCACTAAAACTCTCCTTCATCACTACCAGTTTTATACAGGTGCTCCAAAGTCCTTTTAGATACATCTAGGTTAGAGATCAGTCTTGTATACATGTCAGCACCCAGTTCACCAAAAATGTCCTGATCTATGCATTGCTGAATTTGTGTTGCAAAAAAAGAACTTCACCACCCGATAGGTTTGTAGAGCACACCTTGTTCAGCATGCATTTGTGACTTATACAAGCATGAACTCAAACTGTCAACAAGAACCAGCTTTTGTGGCTATTAAATCTCCTGTTTTTTTTGTTTTGTTTTTTTCTTTTTATATATTTTTGATGTGTGAGTTAAGGTGCTCCTTTGTGCAACTGTTGTCACATTTTATTACTTGTACACACTATTACGTGACTTGGTGTTTAAGCAATTTGGCATGGAGAAACATGGAGTTATCTTTGCCATTCAAGAGTGACAATTGCTCCAACTTTGATATTCCTTCTTTTCTTTTATTCAGTTGATAGGTTGAGTTATTTAGGATTTCTAAAATTCATAAGGTCCTGAAGTTCACACCTGCTTTTGAAAACTCCTAAAATACGTTTTTAAAATGGTGTTGCGCGTGTTAAAAGAAGAAAAAAAATACAGTCCAGTATTGAATATGTGAGAACAAGTTACTTTAAAACTTTTTGGCTTCTGTTTTTACATGTGTTTTTGTGTGACACTGCAATGTCTTGTCTTATCTGCTCTGTAACTCAAAGCGATGTAATGTTACGTAAATGTTGTCAGTATGGCTTTTGTGGTCTTTTACAGGGTTGGTATTTCTCCCTATATACAGTAGAGTCCTACATTGTGACTCATTCATTTGCAGTATCTCAAACATCTAGTGGTGTCACTGGCTGACAATGGGCTGATGTGTAATCTTCCTCCACTAGAAACCCAAACATTCAGTCCTACTAGACTGGTATTTCGGGGTTGATTGGTGTCATCTGCATGTTGGCAACTTGCCTTGATTGGCTGGGGTTTGTGTTTAGTGGAAGATCTAGGCACTATTGTCTTAGAGTGTTATATTTCAGAGCGTTCTGGCGGTTATGTAGTTAATATACTTTACTTTCATATTGTGTAGCAGCTGTTGGATGAAATTTAAATACATCTGGTAAAGGTGCAAGGAACTGGTGACAATATAGGGCACAAGACTTTAGTTCCTAGCCATTTGGTAGGCTGCTTTATGTGCACTGGTTCACGACACAGAATGGCTGACTCGTCAGTGTCATTGCAGTTTAGCGTGTGTTGTTAGGAAAGGATGTCCGCTCAGTGTAAATGATGCAGTTTTTTGTGTTTTATATATATCTATATATTTTGTACAGTCAGCATTTCATTTGGGTTCATTTCTAGACTGAGGAAAATGCAAAACCAAACAATGTAGCATATTTATTAAATTCAATATCAACTAATTTTTTTGTCATGTCACACTGTCTTGTTTTTGCTGTTTTTTGTTTTGTTTTTTTTATCTGTGTGAAATGGAAATTGATTATTCGGTTAGCACCAATGACAGTTTTACTCTTGAATAAAGAGTTGATTATGTCTGGTCGACCTGTGGACCTTTGTTGAACTGCAACTTTCTTGGCCTCAGGTTAACAAAAGTTGTAGTAAATACATGTTTGGTTTTTTTTTTTTTTGGTTTTTTTTTTTTTTTTTTTTTTTTCCTTTTTTTCAATACTAAACAAGCCTGGCTAATTAGTTATACCACTTTTTATGATTGAAACCTATCAATTTTTTCCCTCCAAAAATAAATGTAAAAAAGGGTTGAGGGTTGTGAAGACCTCAGGTGTTTGCTGTGTTTCTCCCCTCCTTTTTTTGTAGAAACAAATTCTACTTGCTCTCACAACTCAAAAGTAATTCTGACAAAACAAGACTTTCTACAATCAATCTTTGTATAAAGTGGAACTTTTTACAAAAGTTTTTTTAACCCTCACTGAGCAGGATCAACTGTACTTTAAAGCAAGGTCAGTTTTATTAATAAAATTTAAAAATAAATAAAAAATGTCTTTTTTTTTAAAACTGATGTATTGAAATGGGACTGCTGCTGGTTTTTTTTCCTCTTTTTTTTTTTTAAGGAATAGATTTGTGAAAAGGAAAAAAATGTTGCCCAACAGCTTTATTGATTTTACATTGAGCACAACTGGGCAAAACTAGAGGCAGCCATTTTGAAGCCTGAGCTGCACTGCGTCCTGTTCACAGTGACAACAGCAGGATGCATCATCATTAGCAAAGCCTCGATACAAAATGGTTGCTACGGCTGTCGGGTAAGGGGGCACTTTTCGCTGAGCACAAATGGGTAAAACAAAAAGCAGCCATTTTGTACCCTGAGCAATGGTTCAACGTATCAGTTGACTAGCAATTGCTGACATTTCTGTGGCCTTGCCATGTTAGTTTCTGGTTAATTGATAGGCTAGGTGCTTTTTATAGCCAACAGGAACGAAATGGATTCCACTGTGTCTAGCAGAGGGGACAATTTACTTTGCCTCCCCTTTTTAGCCTGACCACAGCCTATAAACATTGGCTAGAAAAAAAAAATGTAGTTAATGTAGAAAATATTTTTATGACATTTCTTTAGAATTAACTTTTGTTTTTTGCTTTTCCACTGGGGATGGGGTTTACATTCTGAAGCATTGCTTATGTGTATATAAGATAGGATAATTTTTGTACTGCTGTTTTGTTATACACCCCCTTGTGTTTTTATCTTACGGGCATCCAAATAAAGATGAAAGTTTCAGTTTAAGAAGAGGAGTTTACTGGTGTCTGAAGTTGGCTATTAATTCCTGCCGTGCGTTTCTCTGTCACGCAATCAGAAACTTTGGTTCCCACATAGCAGAAACAGGTTCCTTAAATTGTAGCAAGAGAAAAAGCATATTTCCTTGGCTCTTGTTCTCAGCAGAAGTGCTCAGTCAACCAGAACTTTTCCAGGAGACCAAAATCCATAGCGATTAGTTATTTTACTACAGTTCTGTCACCCCCCTGCTGCACAAGTGCAGTAACTGTGCACAACCGGCAAGATTATTGAATCAATGACCTTATCTCATTTCAAAGTACCATGGGAATGGGGGGGGGGGGGAATGGCAGAAGCAACTGTAGATTTGTTCACAATGTAAGTTCCACGCACAGTAACTGTGCTTTCACATAGAGAGGATTTGCTGCTAGAAGATGAAAAATTCACAATTGTTTAAGAATCAAATTGATGTAGTCTTTCATTCTATAAGACAAGCCATATATTTTATTTTCTTTCCTTCCACCATGGGTGGAAGAAAACACAATTGCTCGATTTCCCTATCAACACATTCAGTGTTGATGGGGAAATCCCTTCCACAGCTCTGTTGTGTCCTGCTGGCAGGGAGCCTTCTTGGCTGGCAGAACACAGTTGGTGCTGGCACCTATAGCTACTGGAAGTAATCCCATGTAATAAACCTGATAGTCTGGTTGTACCCAAGTCCTTCGATGGATCAACTTAGGGACAACCAGCCTGCCCATAGATGGATCGAATCTCGGCCAGTCCCTGTTTACGCCTAATGGTCAATAGTACAATAGCTTTCCCACCTTTCACTGTATAAAGTAAAGGTACCCCATAAGAAGTAAGCCAGAATGGACTTTCTAGCAATTTGTTTTAACAAGTTAGGTCCATTAACAGACAACGTCACTTTATCCATTTAGGAGAATGTAATTTTCTGTCGTCTGCCCACCCTTTTGGCAAGGTATGCATTTACCGAACTACACTCCCTTGTCTCCTAAATATGCTCCCTTGTATTGTGCATATTGCTGTCCTGTCCAGACCTGGCCCTCCAGCCATGAGGTAAGCGAATTGATGTCCATAAGTTTTTTTTGGTCATAAC